CCTGCCAAATCAGCCTGCGAATCAGCCACAGTGGCGGTGAGTATGAACGCCGTTGCTAATGAAATCGCAGGCTGCGGAGTTGTCAGAGCAGCATTCAACTGTCCTGCTGGTCCAAAGATGACCCCAAGTGAGGGAGGCCACCACGAAGGGGTAGATCTCCAACAAAGGAGAGGTCTCTCCAAAGGCCGGCAAGGCATCCGTCTTAGTGGGCCAGTATCCCTAACAAGTGGTTGCCAAAAAATGGCGGCGAACCCTGTGTGTGCTGCTGGGTCTGTGTGAATTGAAAGTGAGTGTTTTGAAAGTGGGGGAATGAACGAAGCGATCCCAATCCATGTGGCCGAAAAACTACTCCAATCATGTAAAACTGCCCTGGCTGGATCGCCCGAATGGTTGAGCAGGGGTAGGCACCGCGTGGAGCAAATTTAAGTATCCCAGGGACAAGAGACCAACCCTGCGGAATGATACGCACAACAAGGTAGAGGGACCTAAACCAGGACTGAAGCCCCCTCCTATTGTGCGCTAAACTCCGCAGGAGCAGGACAAAAATCTGTTCTTAATGCGGGACAGATCGTCTGGTAGACTGGCTTGGAAAGTAGTGGAGTCCAATACTATGCCCCAGAAAGCGAGCCTGGAAGAGGGACCAACTGTTTCCCTGGTGACAGAGGGACCCCGCGTGTCGTGAAAAAGGGGGTGGGGTCTGTGGTGGTGTGAACACTGTTAGGTGTTCATGAACCCGTTAAATCAACAAAAAATTCATCCAGATAGTGGATGACTGATGGACACCTGAATACATTTAGGAGTGGCCAGCAGAGAGTTTCTGCAGAGGGTGGTGCGGAAGAGGTCTATGATCAAACGTATTTTGTATTGTGAATGGCTACCCCGATGGGAGTGGTACACCAAGATGAGAAACGTAAAGACCGGAAAGGGCCGATCGTGAAACCAGTGTTTGATTGCTGTGGACAGAAGGTGGTCCACCGTAAGTGGGTCAATAGATGTAGATAGTAGGTTAGGGTGTGTACCTGTGGGGTTGGCGATAAGGCCCGTGTGAAACCCCTGTGAGAAACCCGGCATCAGAATCTACCATATGCCTAGCTGGGTGTAAATGCAGATAGTATTCCAGTATGTCAATGTTGACCTTGGTTAGGCGTATCTTAGGTGACAGTCGGGCTGTATATGTGCACTAGGTGTGGGTTCTGGAGCAGATGAAGCAGATGTGAGATACCCTACATGGAGTGAAAATAGCATACCCCAGCATTAAAGTCATAGCGCGCCCGAGCCTTGCCCGGAAATGAAATGGTCAGCCCCGCTTGTCCTTCCCAGTCTAGTGTGTGGGATGAAGGAGTGGTGAGAGGTACTAAACAGTTAAATTTGTAACAGACCAAAGAAGCCTGGATATGATAAATGCATAGTGATAGGTACCAGGTTCTCGGGTGTTTGCCGATAGAGGGAAAAGACCTGCGTGGGCCTAACGAGGCCATGCGTAATATTAGGAATGTAGTATGAAACTCAACAGTTAGGGCGCACGGAAACAAATTAGTGCCTTAGAACGTTTCAGGCAAACTTGTATATAACTACCAATGTATGTAATATATTCGGAAGCTGGTGACTTGTGACTTGTGACTAATATCTAATTCTATGTACAGCTGTTAAAAATACTTTTGTAAGAATATGATACATTGTATATGCATTGTCGCCCCCCCCCCCCCCCCTTTTCTCTCCGTGTTCCCCCTCCTGAGTTATTCCCCTTTTATAATATGCATGACCAATGAAAATTGAAAAATAAAATACATTGGAAAAAAAGGAATGTAGTATGAAAGGTAGTATTTCTTTGACCCTTGTATATTAGAAATTTGACGTATGTAATTGCTCAACTGTGAGGCCGAAATTGACTTATGTAACTACCCAAATGAGGGTCTGGAATTGCCATAATGCCCATAGAGGGCCATCTGTAAACGTATGGAGTGAAGGCTTGGTGAGGGCCATGTGTAGAGGTATTGTAGTGGAAGGCAGAGTGCTTAATGTTAGTCCTGAGCTGCTGGATGGCGAAATAGGCCCTAAAGAAGGGCGAGCGAGGTAGCAAACTATGATTTGGTTGTGGGGCTGAACCTCCGTGTATGAGGTGGGGGTGTAGACCTCGTGGGACCATAGTTTTACTTAAGGTAGCTAAGGCCAGTGCCTAACCCTCAATGCCAGTTCACTAGCCTAATGGGGTTTGTCTCTTAGAATGGTGTAATTGAACGTATGTATATACTTAACCTTGAGTATTGTCCTTTTTCTTTGGTCAGTGCGCAGGAGGATTTTGATATATAAAACAAGAAAGGAAAAAATAGAGGTGGACTAAGTCCACATCACTAATTCCAAAGAAGGGGTTACAGAGATATCAAGGGGCATAACCCCACGAAATAATTTAAAAAAGATAAGACTAAAGTGAAGTGGTTGTTCCACTAAAGATGGAAAAATGGACATCCACTTCACCAAATGATATCTCTAGATTATTACAATAATTGTTAGGTATAACCTTTATTAAGCCGACTTAGGCAAAGCAAAAAACAATAAATGATGATAAAGTAATAGTGAAACACTCGTGAGAAAACACGTGAAATAAAAAATGGGTAGATGTAGTGTGGATATCCTCAGTGTGTACTGGGGTAATTTGGATATCTTCACTGAAAACTCTAGTAACCAGTACAATATAGTACCGTATATGTTAAGTCACATATCACAAAATTACTCCCCCTAAAGTCTACAGGGATCTAAAAATCCCAGCTATATAGAGGTAAATCCACAAAGATTCCCATAGACTCTAGTATATTTTCACAGCATACACTTTTGGTTTAGATAGATAGTATCCATATATAGTTAATCTATCATACAAATTTATCCAAAATGTTGCAAAAAAAAAAAAAGGGAGTCTAGGGAGAAGCTGAGAGACACTGTGTGTATAGTGTGTTACTTAGTATTTAATACTTAGATAAGGTATAGATAATCATTACTAATTAAAGGAGTCACAGTAAGTGAAAACTTAAATAGATCTAGAAAGATAGTTTAAGCAAAATAGTCCTGGGAATTAGTATGCAGGTGTCTCTAAGGATGGATTGACTTATTCAGTCCCTATATAGATATATAGAGGCACCCATCCAACAGAATGAATCCTTCCCAGGAACAAAAGAACACTTAAATATGTAGAAACTTTCTGCACTTGCTAAATCCGGCTCCTGTATATACTGAACACTGCTGCTTCAAGGCTCCTATAGATACTGAACACTGCTGCTTCAAGGCAGCCTAACGCTAAAGGTCACTAACTGAATAATCTGAATAGGTAT